ATTTGAGTATAGTGAGTGGATTAGACAATAGTGTTGTTCTCATACTAAAATTCTGTGATTTTGGCAATTCTCCGTCCTTGGGATATCCACACCCTCACCGGGACTCAGAGAAACACCCACTGCAAATGCCCACGGCGCAGAGAGGAGGATGCGGCCCAGGGCAGGCAGGCAGGGCCCGAGTCAGCAGGGCGGTGACCGTGAACGTGGGCAGGCGTGTGGGGGTGCCTGCCCGCTCCAGCTTCTCTGCACGCTTGAAATTATACCAAATAAAACGTTGCAAACAAACACACGTGAAAACCTGGGCATACGGTCATTTTCCCACTTTCCTATTTTCTACATTGTCTTTAATGAATGCATATTTTATAATGAAAAATTAATAAATGCACATCATATATATATATATTTTAAAAGACTGTTAGTGATGCTATTTTAAGGGTAACTGGAAAGTTTTCCAGATCTTCTTTCAAAAAAAAAAAAAAAAGTCAAAATGTATGGATTCAAATTCAGAGATAAAAATTTCACATAATTTTTTTCACAGTCAGTGCACTCGATCAGCCAATGTTATTGAGTCATAACAGGAAGTGTATTTTCCTATTACCGTCAGTCTTAACCTCATTCCTTTTTGTGGAGTGTTGAATATGTTCTACTTCCTGTGAAACATATACTTATGCAACTCTTTGATGAGAATTAATTGGTACCTAGTTTTCCTAAATTCTTTTAGGGGGAAAGTTGTGTGCAGCCCACTGGAATAGGACAGGTGACAGTGAATCTGACAGTAGGGGGGGCGTAGTCAGTACTGGGGAGACCCCTGGGAGAGGAGTGGGGTGCTCTGGCAAACAGAGGCAGCCCAGTGGGTCAGAAACCCAATCCAGCTCCCCATTTGTGGGATGCAGGAGCCAGCCTCCAGGTCCCCATGCAGAAGGGCAGTTCCGGGGCGAAACTGGGAGGTTATCAGAATCCCCAGAGGGGTCTTGGGCCCCGAGAGTGAGACAGGGATCCAGCTGGGGCCTCTCAGGAGTAGGCCCACGGTGAAGGTAGGACCAGCAGAGAGGATGGGCTGATGCTCATCCCCTTGCGAGGGCCCAGCCAGGTTTCTTAAGGTCAAAAGGAACCAGTTCTATTGGGTCCATGTCAAGAACCTCTGCCCTAAAGGCTGGGGCTGGCTGAGTGTTCAGGTGGGCACAGGTGGGCACCCGAGGACTCGAGAGGCCGAGAGCCAGGCAGGTCGGGGGAGGGCCTCATCATCACGGTCCTTGCTGTGCATGGAACCCTCCAGGTAGGAGTAACACACCCATTTTAAAGATGCAGAAACTGAGGCCTGTGTTGCCCAAGGCCACCATGGAGCTGAATTTTTATTCCAAAACACTGAGGCTTTTTCTAGCTGTGGGTTTCTTCAGTC